ACCAGGGTTGGGTTGTGGGCAGACCGGAGGCCAGGGTGAGGACACGGAGGGTAACTCCCTGTGGAGTGGAGTCTGTGCTTCCTCCACAGACACTGAGCTTCCCCATGCACTGGAAAACCTTAAGCCAATTTCACGACTAATTCACAGGCTAATTGAGACCAGACTGTGCCTCATTGTGAGGCAGAGTTACAGCATTACACCATTACGTACATCCTAGGCCGAGCCTTCATTTAGATCACAAATTTCCCAGCACAGTTGTTATTGGTAATTAAACCTACTTGATTGTTCCATTTCACAGAGATTCCATGACAGTAAAGAAATTAAACATAACTAATCTTTAGCTCATTTCTAAAGGTGTACGGAAATGAGAACCGACAACGGTATAAAATATGTGAATGATGCACCCCCATCATTTTTTGTCAGTTTTTAGCAGGCTTGGCTCATGGAAGCTCAGAGATTTGAGACACTTTAATCCACAAGCATATATCTGTTTTACTGTAACGCAATAAAAATTAAGCATGGATGGAAAACAGCATGAATTACTTTGAAAAAATCACATTTACAGCACCCAGATATAAATTCCCAGCAATTGACATGTTTGTAATCCCGGGCAGTTCTAGAAGCATTTTCCCTCTAATCTGTGTCTAACCTTTAGTGCCCAGGCCACACCTGCTGTCAGAAATTAAGGTCACTGACTTCTTGGCTTCAGTGTCTATCTAGACTTCCTGGGACTGGCTGATTTCCTCTTCTATTTTTTTTTTTTTTCAGATTCCAGTTCTATTTCTTCCCCTTTAAAGTGTAGACATAATAAGAATCACCCAAGGGTCTGGTTGCAAATGCAGATGCATGGGCCCCACCTGTGTCAACATCCCTGAGGCAGCAGCCCAACAACCAATATGTGTAATCGGCCCCCAGGAGATCCTTGTACAGACTAAAGTCACTCACTGCCACATGTGACACCAAAGCTCTGGAGTGCAAGAATTAACTGTCACGTGTCCCTATATCTCCAGCATCCAACTCCATGCCTAGCCAAGAATGGTCATCAATGGGAGAACATACTGACCCAAACTGATAAGTTCTTTCCTTTTTCCAATGGGTCTTAAAAAAAAAAAATCAAAGATCACATTATGTAGGGATCTATCTGCTCCAGCCTATTTTCTACAAAATAATCCACTCACCTTTCCTGAGACAGACCTGCCCACATTGCCAACTCCAAAGACCAGAAAGAAAGATGGTTCCAATGCTACCAGGAATGGCGCTTCCTTGTGCTGGTGGCCACCATCTGCCCTTCCCTCTGGGGCAAGGAGGTGGCTTATGTCCTCAACATCAAATGTCTCTCTTGGAGCTCTTAAACTAGTGTCTTTAACTTTTACAACAGAATCACCTAGAAGCTTGCTCAGAAATACATGTTCCTGGGTGAATTTCCACCCTGAGATAAGTACCCACCTGGTCAGATTTGGGGCACTGAGTTGTCTGTGTATCCCCCAGATGATTTTGATGCGGAGGACCCTGACCTATTCTTGGAGAAATTCCTGTTTAATTCCAGTCCTCAAAAAACTCCCTCAACTTCCCCTCCTCAAAAGGTGGGAATGCTATACCCCTTTAGTGCTCTCTGATTTGGCAGGATGTGTGTGTGTGGGGGGGGGGGGGGCGGAGTAGATGGAGGATGAATGCCCAACCCAGCAATTATAACCATTATACTCTGATGGATGTGATACTTAATATGAAAGCTCTTCCCTAAGACTGCCCTCCTGTAAATTGAGGAAGGAATGGGGGAAACTCACATTTCTTGAGCATTAGAAAATAATGCTAAGGGCTAAGTATTCCTATTCTCTTACCATCTCTCCACAGCCCATCTAAACCTCACCATGTATCCCCAGGCAGAATTAATTGCTGGCCTGCTGCACCTTTCTCCCAGAGCACTTAGCCCCTTTCCTGGATTAGTGCATTTCTCTGGCATTCAAGCTAATGGTCTGCTGTAGGTCTTTTCCTTAGACATCCTTTGCTCTAAGGCAGGTTGGAGTGTCTTTATCTCGGCAGCACCCAGGCTTGGCTGTAAGGTGCTACTTAAATAAAGGTTCCAGGTGGATGGACTGCAGGTAAGGCCCACCTTGGCCCATAGGAGCAGCTTCTTTGAGAGAGCTGCACAGCGAGGTGTTGGCCTTTCATGCTGCCCTGAACCTTTTTTATAGCTGTGCTTCTCTTCAACCCATTTTCTAGAATTACGTCACTACCAACACGTCTGTGTACAAAAGCTACAGAGATGAGTAATTTTCCCTAAAGACATTGCCCATTAACTGTGAAGCCTGTGTTGCTTTGCAGGTTTGAAGATACATGCACACATATACATGTATGTGTATATACCATGTATATAATCTTATTATGATGCATTTCACCTTGTATAGTTCCATGTGCTATGGCTCCCAGCCTTATAAACCCCATAGAACCTATGTATTTTTACAGCAGTCTTTCTAATCTTGAAAGAAAATGCTGTGCATATGGCCTTGGTACACAGCAAAGTATCTCTATCCTGCCTTTACATTAAGACCATCCCCTGCTACACTCTGAGTTTCCGACATCAGCAATATGGGGATTTTTCAGAAGGTATGAAGCATCTTTTTCTAGTTCCTTGAGCCCAGACTTTTGGGAGAGCCCTCTGTTTAGCTCCAGTCTCTCCCTACTTCCAATCCACCCACCCCGATTCCATAGAGATCTTCCTGAAAACCCAGACTTGTTATCCCCTCTTTAGGAAGAAGGTCAGCCTTCATCTTGAGGATGCTTCCAAAGCCTTTGCACCTGTTTCCAGGGCTCTACTGGCCCCTCTGAGCAAGACTCTTCACTCATGCTTGGCTTCCACTGTTCCCTCTGCCCAGAAAGCCATCTCCCCCACTTTGGCCTCTTGAAATCCCACCTATTCCTCAAAATCTACCTGCGTGCCAGCTGCAGCTCAGTGGGTGGGATCAACACCTGGCTCCAGAGTTCCCCTGCTGTGTGACCATGGGCAAGGCGCTCGGCTACCCTCAGCCTCAGTGTGCTGTTCTTCAAATCGAGGACTCAATCAAAGGATGCCTAAAAGACAAGGAAATAAAATCTCCAGAAATAATTTTTAGTCCCCAATTCAGTCCTCTGAACCACTTCCCCTTCCCTTCTCATACAGAGCTGAGAATGCACTGTGCATTACTAGACTGAGTCATGTTTACTATAACCCCAATAGATTAAGAGGTCTTAAGGGTCAAGGCGTCACATTTTAGACATGCCTAGCACATAGTAAGTATGCAATGGATATTAGAGGAAGGGTTCATTTATCTCCTTCTCATTCATAATCAGAGCCATATAATTCACAGGCCAGTTGCTTCGGAGAGGTGATGTTGAAACAAATGAACTCAGAGGTCAGGATGATGTAACCTTGAACCCTAGCTGTGTAAACTTAAAAAAGACATTTTTTATTTCCTAATTTGGAAAGTGGGAATGTTAATGCCGCTCTAGAAATAACCCGACTTCGTAGGGTTGCTCAGAGGATGAAGTACACAAATGTGGGTGAGGTGCCATCATTGTTATTATTAGGCTGTCATCAAGCTTTTGGTTTGGGCTCACGCCTTGGCAGACTCACTAGGGGAACATCTAAGCTCAGTGGTTATAGAGATCTTGGGAAATGTGGCCCAACTGTCCCACCACCCAGGGCCGCACTTTGCATTTCACAGTCCCTAGGCCATTTGGTTTTAGGAACCCCTTCCTCCATAAACTAATAATAATAATAAAATAAATTCTATGTTATGACTGTATTGGTATAAAGATGAATGTAATCAGGCTGGATTTATTATTTTATATTGCTTATTATTATATTAATTTTCTTCTGCTTTTAAAAGAAATTAAAATGAGAACATTATTATGGGTTCCAGGCATTGCACCTCCTGTACAGGACAGAGAAGTCAGCCTGGCCTTAAGTCTCTGAAGTCTGACCTCTGAAGTGTCAGCTCCAACCAGGCTCCCTCTCACTGGCTCTTCTCAAGCCACTCCTCTCGGGTCTGTGCACACCATGGAGTCTTCACACAAATTTGTCCTTCTTCCTAGAACTCTCTCCTCTGCCCCTTTCCCTTGTTTACTTTCCACACATACAGAAATCTCCTATGCACACATCAGTGGTCCTGACCCCCCATTTCTGATCCAGCAGCTCTGGGATGAGACCCTGGAGTCTGTATTTTAACAGCACCCGAGTGGTGCTGATGCTGTGGTCCTGAGCTAACTACACTCTGGAGACAGCTGCCTTGGAGGTCTGCTCTGTTTCCATTCTCTCCGGTAAGCCTTCTCTGATCTGATTTGGTCACGTTCCTCCCACAGATGCTCTCCAAGGACTGAAGGCCTCTGCTTTATCTATGTCATTTTCTGCTTCCCGTCTCTGTCTCCCATTTGACGGTAAGCTCCACGTGTGTTTTTGCCAGCTGTGGGATTTGTACCCAGCACACAGTAGGTGCTCAGTAAATGCGTGTGACCGCTGTTCAGAAAAATGGAACCGACTTAACCTCCTAACAACAGTAAACACGAGTGTCAGAATCCTCTCAACTCACCAGCACTGCATTTTCATTTTTTCTCTCCTTTTTTTACAATTTTCAGTTTCAGAATTCCTCACATGCCCATTGTTCCAAGGGCAGAGCAAGGAGCGGGGCAGAAACCGCTTCCCGAGACCTGGAAGGCCCTGCACTAAGCCCCGCCCTCACGTGTCGTCCCGCCCGGATTCTCCGCCTACGGCGCCAGACCCCGCCCACTTCCCCACGCTCCGCCCCATCACCGTCTCTGGACTTAGGCCCCGCCCCATCACCGACTCTGGACTTAGGCCCCGCCCCATCACCCTCTCTGGACTTAGGCCCCGCCCCATCACCCTCTCTGGACTTAGGCCCCGCCCCATCACCGTCTCTGGACTTAGGCCCCGCCCCATCACCGTCTCTGGACTTAGGCCCCGCCTCCTGTCCATCCCTAGGCCTCGCCCCTCGCCCCTCCCCAGACCAACTGCCTCTGCGCATGCCCGGCCGCCCAGAAACTCTGAGGAGTCACCGGCTGGAAACAAACTTTCACGGAACAATGTCGCGACCCTGTCCTCCGGAGACAGTCAGGTAAAGCCTCCCCGGCCCCTGGCACGCTGAGCCGGCCTTGATCGGGGCGGGGCCGAGCTGATCGCGGGCCGCGGGTCGTAGGGGCCTTTTACCCGCGATTGCTTTTGCCGAGCCCGCACTCGAGGCCCTCACCTCCTTGGCCGCCGGCAGGGTCCAGGGACCTCTGCATCTTCTCCGGCCCCGGACGGAGCCGGGCTCTGGCATCTTGAGTTAACACCTGTCATCATGGGTAGTCCCCACCCCCCTTCCCCCAAGGCGTTCCCTGCCCAGCCGCTCACCTCTTCTGCTCCAGGCGTCTCCAGAGTTCGACCTCTGGAAACCCAGCCCGCAGCTGGCAACCCAGGGTTCAAGTCCCCCGGTGGCTACTCCCAGTCGTGGCCTTGGGTCTCAGTTACGTAACCTCTCTGGTTCTGGACCAGATTAGGCGCTCACCTCGCCGGGCTGGTGTGAGGATGAAAAGAGAAAAGCAAGGCAAGAGTGTGGGGATAAGCCCATGCTCAGAACAGGGTGGCTGCTACTTTTTTGTTGGTGTTTTTATGGTGATTATTCCCAGGATCAGCCCCTAATGTGGACAGACACATTTTTGCAGACTTAGCATCTGCTGGACCCTCTGATTAGTTCTGGGGCCTCTTAGAAGCCACACTGGGCAGGCCCGTTTCCTCTTCTGGATGCCTCCCTGGCGTTCCCAGCACTCTGACTCCTTTCAAGCCTTTGGTCGTTATTTTGCAGTTCACTGTGGTTATCCAACCACTTTTAGGGGGCATCCTGCCAGTAGAAAGAGGCATAAAATAGCAAACAGCTTCCACAAACAACTGCGCATTTAATGATGGAGACATTTATGACAGTAGTCATCATTCATAGGCCACTAGCTGAGTACCAGCCACCGTATATGAGTTATATCATTAAATCCTCATACATACTTTCAAACATGTCACAGATGAGGGAAGGGGAGCTCAGAGAGGTCATGCCTAAGCATTTTGAAACCTGTTCTAGCTGACTTCCACATCTGATTTTGCCCACTCTGCAAAACTGCCTTTCCCATAGAAAAATTACAATTAAACTGTTAGTTTTTTGGGTTGTCAATAACAATGTGCCACAAACTGGGTAGCTTACAAAACAGAAGTTTATGCTCTCGCAGTTGTGAAAACCAGAAGTCCAAAATCAAGAACCTGCCAGGTTCTAGGGGAGGACCCTTCCTGGCCTGTGGCAGCTTCTGGTGTTCCTTCGCTTCTGGCAGCGGCACATCCAGTCTCTGCCTCTGTCTTCACCTGGCCTTCTTTCTTGTGTGTGTATCTGTCTCTCTGTGTCCGCTCCTCTTTTTATAAGGACACCAGTCATTGGAATTAGGGTCCACCTTAAAACCAGGATGGTTTCATCTTGAGTCCTAAACTAATTACATCTACAGAAATTCTGTTTCCAAGTCAGATTTGTGGCTTAGGGAGGACACTATTTAACCCACTACACAAACCAGCAACAAAATACACCGTTCAAAGGGACCAAAACAAATTCACAGTCATGGATTCAGGGCACCATTTGTGGTCATAAATCCCAATACTTGTATATTCTCAAAGTGTGTTCCCCTGGTCTGCAACATCACCATCACTTGGGAGTTTGATATAAATGCTAACTCTCAGGCTCCACCCCACACTTACTGAGTCACAGTTTGGGGTGGGCCCAGCAAACCCTCTAGGGCAGTGGTTCTCAACCTTCCTAAGGCCGCGACCCTTGAATACAGTTTCTCATGTTGTGGTGACCCCCAACCATAAAATTATTTTCGTTGCTACTTCATAATTGTAATTTTGCTACTGTTATGAATCGTAATGTAAATACCTGATATGCAGAATGTATTTTCATTGTTACAAATTGAACATAATTAAAGCATAGTGATTAATCACAAAAACAATATGTAATTATATATGTGTTTTCCAATGGTCTTAGGCGACCCCTGTGAAAGGGTCGTTCAACCCCCAAAGGGGTCACGACCCACAGATTGGCGACCCACAGGTTGAGAACTACTGCTCTAGGGGATTCTGTTGCTGTTAAAGTTTGGGAACCACTGTTATAAAGCAGTTGAATATTTGATAACAGTTGAGTATTTGATAAAAGGAATGCTTGATAACATGACATATAAGGGCCAGATTAAGGGAAAGTTCTTAACTTTACAATGATCTGACCTTACAATGACTTATTTAGCAAACCTGTCTTATATTTATGGATTTTGATAATTAACTACTGCATTGTTAAAAAGTATTTTACCATAATTTAAATTTAGTTTTCAAATGAACTTGTGTACTAAACTGTGTTCTTAGTACATAGTTCCACCCCTCACCCATGGGGGATACGTTCCAAGACCCCCAGGAGATGCCTGAAACTGCAGATAGTACCAAACCATATATATATATTATAATGGTTTTTCCTACACAGAGTAAGAGATTAACAACAATGATACAATAGAATGATTATAACAATATACTGTAATAAAAATTATGTAAGTGTGGTCTCAAAATATCTTATTGTACTGTACTTACCTTTTCCCTTATGGGAAGCACTTTACATATTCTCTTTGGCATATCAGAATTGCCAGCATCATTACTCTTGTGCTTTGGGACCATTGTTCAAGTAACCCTTATATTACTTGAACACAAGCATTGCATCTGATCACGAGAAGGCTACTAAATGACAATGGGCAGGTAGCATAGACAGCTTGGACACCTGGATAAAGGAATGACTCATGTTCCAGGTGGGATGGAGTTGGGCAGTGCAAGATTTCATCACCCTACTCAGAACAGCGCATACTGAAAACTTATGAATTGTTTATTTCTGGAATATTTAATTTAATATTTTGGACTAAGATGAACTGCGGTTAATTGGAAAGTGAAACTGTAGGTTTTTGCCTCATTTTATCTTGCCAAAAATCATGTGATTTTTGTTATTATTATTTCTGCCATGTTATTGAAAAGTACACCGAGACTCAGAAATGGTAAACCTCAAGATACACAGCAAAACAGAAACATAGGCAGGACAAGGAGATTTTTACTATAACGCTGGTACTATAATGTTTCGTTTATTTCCCTTTTAGAAACAGTTTGATAGAGGATGCTAAGGCCCGCTTAAAAAAGCATGATGTTGGGACCAAATATTCTCACTTGTCGTCTAGTAAATATTCCATCCTTTTACCGTTGTTGGCTAAAGAAGGAAAACTTCATCTGTTGTTCACCCTCCGGTCAGAGAAGGTAGGTGACAAGAGGTTCTGCCATTAAAGCAGGACATTTGAAATCCCCAGGAACTGTTGTCACTTGCACACATTTTGAGGCCAGAGATTCCCAAATGGACTTTCAGAATTGTGATGTTTGAGGGGCCACAGGATAGCATGGCATTTTGGGGACATTTTTTGGAAAGAAAAGTAAGTAATTTAGAATAATTTTAGACCTGGGTTTCTTACCCGTGGTGCCATTGGCATTTAGGCTGGATAATTCCTTGTTGTGGAAGCTGCCCTATGCATAATAGGATGTATGTTTAGCATCATCCCTGGCCCCTACCTACTAGATGACAGTAACACACACACGCACACACACCCCTTTGTGATAACCACAAATGTTTCTAGAGCAGCGGTTCTCAACCTGTGGGTAGTGACCCCTTTGGGGGTCGAACGACCCTTTCACAGGGGTCGCCTAAGACCATCGGAAAACACATATATAATTACATATTGTTTTTGTGATTAATCACTATGCTTTAATTATGTTCAATTTGTAACAATGAAATTGGGGGTCACCACAACATGAGGAACTGTATTAAAGGGTCATGCATGGCATTAGGAAGGTTGAGAACCACTGCTCTAGAGTTTGTCCCCTGTCCTCGAAGGAATGGGTGGGTGGGGAGAAGAGGGACAGTTTGCCACTGTTTTAGACCAATCCCACCGCAGGTATAACGTGAAAGTTCTGTAGCACTGAAGTTAACAGTCTGGGCCCTGAAGCTGGCTGCCCATGTTTGAATGCAGGCTCTCTCCTTGTCAGCTGTGTGACTTAGTTCTCCTCTGTGTGCTGCAGCCTCACTTGCAAAATGAGGACAAAATATTAACACCTGTCTAATAGGGCCGCTGTGAGAATTTCACAGGGTAACAAAGGTAAAGCTTCTAAAACAAGCCGGGCACTTGGCAAGGATTCGATAAGTTTCAGATGTCATCATCATTAGCGCCATTAGCAGACATGGCTTGAGGTTTTTAAGATAACTGTTCAACTTAAAAACAATATTGGGGTGGGAATGGAGTTCCCCTGGGTACACACCTGGGTATGGTCACTGTCCCTTGCTGTTAGCGGTACTTCTGAGGAAAAGTTGGGAAGCAGTCATTTCAAATTGTCCAAGTACAAAAAAGAAAATGGGCCACAATAAAGTGTCTTTCTAAGCAGAATAACCAAAAGTATCTCCATGGGGGAAAAAGCAAGCTGAAATATCAGCTGAAGTTTCCTGGATTTGGTATTAGACTTGTGTGGATTCTGTCCTGTCTGGGTCAGACGATGGCAATCAAGTTTCCAAGGGGAGATACTTAATGCGGAACCAGGGGACCAGGTCTGTTCCCAGCTCTGCCGGAAGATACAGCAGAAGCATGCTTTTTTAATTATCAGTTGAACCATCATGTAGAAAATCCAGACAAGACCAAAACGGGTGTCTGACCTCTGTTTCACCTAGAGTACCTTTGTCTATTGACTATTAAGTGAGAATCATTTTAGACCATGAACTCCGATATGCAAAGGTCATATTTTAAAAAAAAAGTATTTAAAGCTAATTAAATCGGACTCTAAGCCTCTCTGGCTGTGAAGGCATGAAATTCCCTCAGGCATTACCTGAGCTCGCCTCCTCCCTGGAGTCATGCAAGCTGGGCCCACGGATTTCCTCCCAGCAGATGGGGAAGGAGGAGCATGTCATCAGTCCTTCCTGCTCAGGTGTGGGCTCTCCCACTAGCTCTGGAGCCTGGAGCAAAGTTCTTCTCTCTGAGCCTCCGTTTTCTTCCTAAAATGGGACTGAAGACAGTGCCTAATGTTATGAGGGTAAGGCTGTGGCACTCCTCATGCTCCTCCCTCTTCCTTCTCCTCTTTCTCCCCTGTCATTGTCTCCCCTTTCCTCTCCTCTCCTCTTTCCTCTCTCTTCCCCCTCCTCTCTCTGCTCCCAGCTCTCTAGGGCTTGAAACAGGCAAGAGGAAATTCAAGAAAAAAAACATAGATGAAAGAAAGTCTAAGGAAATTAGGCAGGAACCTTATTTGGCTTTTGAGTAGAATTTCATAAGGTTTTATTTAATAAAAATATTATGCTTTTTACAAAAAAGAAAGAAAAAACTTATGTAGTTAGATAAGGCCCTTTCTGATCTGACAGTTTGTGAATCATCATTTTTATGAATGTATTTTCTTTAAAACAGCATGACATTTTCTTACGAGTATTTAAAATAGTCATTAAATCAGGCCTGTAGGCCCCTGCAGGTGCCAATGTCAGTGTGTCAGTGGTCCCTCACTGCTGAATGAGCTAACACTATGGAGTAAGCTTTCAGAGGTGATGTAGCATTAGGTCTGTCTCTTACGCATTTGGATGGTGAATGGTCAAGACAGTAGAGACATGTCCATCAACCTGGTTTTCACCTACACTTTTGTCTACAATCGATGTGAAGACGTGTGAGGTTTCTGTGTATTGTAGCAATTCCTGCACTGTTCATGATTTTTTAAATCTATTTTTGTTACTGATTTATTAACAGAGAGGAACTTTAAAATGCTTTCTTTCATTTTCAAGAAGCTTGCCCAAATGGGACTTTAAACTGTAGAACATGACAAAATTTATAATGGCAGCTTACGTGGGTATATTGGCCCCAGTGCTAAAAATGCCTGCATGACCTTTTGATTTAGCTACTAAACGTCAAGAATTGTCCTTACGAGTTCTCATTAATAAATATTTAACATGGGCCAGGCGCTGTGCCAGGCACTTCAGCCATCAGCTCATGTGACCAACTCCCTGAGGACAGACATTACCCGCACTGCACGCTGTTGGGAAGACGCAGACCCAGGACCCCTGCTGACCTTGAGGTCCCCTGGAAAGTTCAGGAGAGAAAGGATGGTGGGCACTGGCAGGAGTGAGTGTGAAACAAATTGAGATCACGTTTGCTTAGAAGTTTGGTCCTGCAGAGGAGAGAAGAGGGGGGTGTGTGTGTGGGGGGGGGGGGGGGGGGGCGGTGGTGGTTGTGCTCCTCTAGCCCAGGATAGGAGAGAAATCATTTTAAAGACAGAGATTTTTAAAAGGGGGGAATTATTCAGGATGCTACAAATGGAGACACAAACGGTTCTCCTGAAGTCAGGGAGTCATGGGATCAAGGATATATGTGGAAGGGGCTTTGCAGGGAAAGAGGCTCCTGTTCCTTTAGTCTGTGCAGAGGTAGGGGGCGGTGACACAGGTCAGTGCTGATGACTGCATGTTCTGTGTAATGTCTTAATAAACGTATGCTGTGCTGCTTAAGGGCATGGCTCTAGAATTAAATCCTGGGTTACGTTCCAGCTCCACTACTCACCCTATGTGAAACTGGTCAGATTATTTAACCTCTTTGAACTTTAGTTCCCTTATCTAACAGTGGAAATAATTTCCAGCGTAGTGGCTCAGTGGTTTGAGCATCAACCTATGAACCAGGAGGTCACAGTTTGATTCCCAATCAAGGCATATGCCTGAGTTGCAGGCTCGATCCCAGTAGGGGGCGTGCAGGAGGCAGCCAATCAATGATTCTCATCATTGATGTTTCTATCTCCTTCTCCCTCTCTGAAATCAATTTTAAAAAGTATTTTTAAAAAGTGGAAATAATAATATTATAGTAGCCTATATGTCCATTAATGGTAAGCTAGATAAACAAATTACAATATATACATACAGTGGGAAACTATACGGCCATAAAAAGGAAAAAGGTACTGATACATGGTGCAATGTGGAAGAACTTCAGAAACATGACGCTAAGCAAAAAAAGCAGATGCCAAAGGTCACACACATCATATGATTCCATTTACAGGGAATATGCAAGAAGGTAAATCCATAGGGACAGAAAGTAAGGGCAGGGAGGTGAGGCAAGTGGGATTCCACTGCTTGGTGGGTACAGTCTCCCTCTGGGATGATGAGAATGTTCCAGAACTGGATGGTGGTAGGAGTTGTGTAACGCTGTGAATGTTTTAAATGTCACTGATTGTTTAGTTTAATTTTATGTTATGAATTTCACCTCATTTAAAAAAAAAAAACTTTCAAAAAACAGCTTATAAAACTGTTCTGATGACTCAGTGAAAAAAAGTCCCTGTGAAGCAACATAGTAAGCACTCAGTAAAAGTTATCTATTGGTAGCATCGCCCTTTTCTTTATCCTTTCTTTCAGCCTCCCTCCCCCACCCAACATAAATTTGTTTGTGTGTGAATGGTATTTGGGGGGTGGGGGGTGGGAGGAGGGGCAAATAGAGAAAAGTCAGAAGTGAGAGCAGTTTTCAAAGCTCATTTTTATAAAAAGATTCAAGTAAAACATGTTTTCTGCCTTGTTCTTTACATATTACCACCACTGTAAGAATGGTCTGTAGTACAGCAGAGAGGTTCGGTAAGTGCTTTTTGAGTGAGTGAGTGGTTCCCACATTGGACTCCCCTGTGCTGTTCTGTTTCTCACTGTCCAGCTGAGACGGTCGCCTGGAGAAGTCTGCTTCCCTGGAGGAAAGTGCGAAACCACGGATGTGGATGATGTGGCCACGGCCCTCCGGGAGGCCCAGGAGGAAGTGGGGCTGCGTCCTCATCAGGTGGAGGTTGTCTGCCGTCTGGTGCCGTATCTGTTTGATGTAAGGGCTAGAATGGAACTGGGTTTCTTGGACTCGTGAGCTCCCAGTGCACCCACTGGCTTCAGGGTGGCCAAACCTGACCTCTGAGAGTGCCGTCCATAGAGTCAAGAGACTGGTCCTTGTGTGGACTTTGCCCTTATAAGCTAAGTGGCCTTGGGCAAGCCCCTTTTTTTGTCTGGTCCCTTCCCCCATCCAGAAAAGAAAGGGGAACTCCATCAGTGGTTTCCAAACTGGGTGCTGTGGAATCCTGTAGATACTTTTTCACTAAATCCCAGGCCTCCCCACCAAAATTCCCAGTAGAATCTTTCACTTAACAGCACTCTACATTTATTTGCAAGCAGTTGTGAAGGTAAATAGACATCCTCCCACATATAAATATATGAGCTATGTAAAATAGTTCATATATGGAGATATATATATATAATTTTCCATAAATGGAAATATGCCACAATTAATATTATGTTATTTTTCTATTGATAAGATGACTTTCTCTATATTTATAGGGAAAGTTATCTATTGCATTTTTTTAAAGAGGCATATTATCCCATTACTAGAGGCCTGGTGCACAGATTCGTGCACCAGTGGGGTCCCTCGACCTGGCCTGTAGCTCTCTGACATCCCCTGAGGGGTCCCAGATTGTGAGAGGGCACAGGCCAGGATGAGGGACCCCCACCAGTGCATGATAGGGTCTGCGGAGGGACCACGGGAAGGCTCCAGAGCATGTCCAGCCTGTCACACCAGTCCCCATTGGCTGGACCCCAGCAGCAAGCTAACCTACTGGTCAGAGTGTCTGCCCCCTGGTGGCCTGTGTGCATCATAGCGACTGGTCAAACGGTCCAATGGTCGGACACTTGGCCTATTAGGCTTTTATTATATAGGATATGGCTATACTTCTAATTGATCTACCCTAAATGTCTATCAATTGAAGGGTGGTAACTTTAGAGTTTTGGGCTATTGCAAATAATGCTTCAGTCTTGTGCAGTAAGTCCTTACTTAACATTGTCAACAGATTCTGCAACTTTAAGTGAACAACATAACAAAGCCAATTTTACCCTAGGCTAGTTGACATAAACCAAGTTCCCACAGCATCTCATCAATGTTATAATGGAACGAGATTATTAGAGGACCTGATGCACTTGTATCTTTTCTCACTGGTAGGAATTTACTTACACAACTGCAATTGCTAAGTCAGAGGGACCACGAATTTACAATGCCAAATTGTCATTCCAAAATATTGTGCCTTCTCATGTTCACAAAATATTTACAGAGCTATCTCACAGCGGCTGCTAATGTAGGGCAGGGACTCCCCACATTTCATGGGTAACATAAAGTTTACAACTGTAGCCAAGTTCCTCCTGCCCTGCCCACCTTATGCACTGATTACTTCAGCCTTTCTTCTTTTTTTCCCTTCTTTAAAAAAAAAAAATTTTTTTTATTGATTTCAGAGAGGAAGGGAGAGATAGAAACATCAATGATGAGACAGAATCATTAAGGGGCTGTCTCCTGCATGCCCCCGCCCCACTGGGGATGGAGCCCGCAACCTGGGCAGGTACTCCTGGTTCATAGGTGATGCTTAATCACTAAGCCATGCTGGCCAGGCCAGCCTGTTTTCTTAGTTTACATGGAAGCGGCATGACTTTCGCATTTGAAACAGTATCTCTTCACTTCTTAATTTGTGTATTTTGTTTTCTGCTTTTAGACAAATACATTTATAACACCAGTTGTAGGGTTCATAGACCACAACTTCCAGGCCCAGCCGAATCCCGATGAAGTGAAGAAAGTGTTCCTGGTGCCTCTGGACTATTTCCTGCACCCACATGCCTACCACCAGAATCACCTGACGCAATCTGGTCATCATTTTATTATTCATTGCTTTGAGTACACAAATCCTGAAGATGGTGTGACTTACTATATCAAAGGACTAACAGCAAAATTTGCTGTGTTCGTTGCCTTAATTATTTTGGGGGAAAAACCCACCTTTGAGGTTGAATTTAATCTCAACGATCTAACATCATCCTCGGAAGAAACCTTCCTGAAGCTTTATAAACCTGCATCAAGCAAGTTATGATTTATGAGACCAACATCCAAATAACTATCTAAGCAGCTTTGTGTGTGCTTATCCGCGGAACAATAATGCCAGCTGGTGGAATTTGACAGGTGCTAATATTTTCCAGGCAATATGAAGATAAAAACCTTGCCTTATTTCCAGCTGCCCTCTGTTATCTGAAAGAGCAAAAGTTTTGCAAAAGTGGAAAATGTGTTTATGATATTGAATAACTTCACCCGCAATATATTAGCCCCATTTTTCTTACATGTGTAAGAAAATGTATCTGGCACACAGTAGGCACTTAATAAATATTTATTAAATATATAACCATGTAGCATTTCTCTTACGTATAAGAGGTAATATTTCTGTTACATATGAAGCAATTTCTGGCTGGCCATCAAAATCTATTGTCCCTTTATTCCGTGTCAGTAGAGTTGAAGCTGAGACCAAAGCTCCCAGGTAGAAATAGCATTACCCAGAATCCCTTGCAGGTAAATGTGGCTCTAGAACTTAGTTTAGGCCAATGGGATGTGAATGAAAGTTGACTTTGCAGGTTATCTCCAATTTAAGAGATAAGCCAGCCTCCCTGGACTCTTTTCCCCTTTCCATGAGCTGCAACATGAGCTTATCTGCACCCCTGCTTTGACCATACAGATGAAGACCATTCCTAGAGAAATGGCAGAACCAAAAGATCATAAGAGCTTGGATCTCCGAATGACTCTGTGGAGCAAAGCAACCTGCCACCCTGGACTATTCACGTGGGAGTTGGGACTATTATATGGGAGAAGAATAAATCCTATTACCTTTCTGCCACGATAATTTGTAGTCACTTTGAGCAGAGCTATAACCCTAAATATTATAACACTTGAAAATGGCCAGGTAGATAGTCACCCACACTTGAGGTGTTTGCCAGCAGTTAGAACTTGGGATGAGCTGTGACATGTAACAGGGCTCTGTGACAGGCACAGGAACCCCCTGGATGTTGGTGGGGTTCAGCAGGTGTCATCCAGAGCAGCTGTAATGAAGGGCTATGCCTACCAATTGGGGGAAATGATGTTGTCTACCTTAAGATGCTGAGAGCAGGAAAACACTGATATGCCCCACGTCAAAAGTCACAAAGACAAACGTTCTGAAGTGCATGCTTTGAGATCTTCCACTTTTTACATGGGCATCCCCATATATCATGCCTGACATTTAACAGGAATGTCTTAGTTTATGGTATTAACCATCCTGCACGAGGTCAGGGAAGCAGGTGCGTAGAGCAGCATAACCTGGATTGTCTTCTGGCAATTGCCCATCTTACTGACTTACTACATTTTTAGAAAGCCAAGCCACTTTTAATAAGACTGTGATCGCTGAAGACAATCATGTTATAATAATGCTGTAAACCCATCCATCAGCCATGCGACTGCCCGTGCTGCTGAGTTTTTATTTTCTGAGAGTTGGCAGAGGAAAATATCCGCGCTGCTGTTTTATACCCGTAAGTGTTGAAACAGCACAAAGCTGGCTCCAACCATGAAAGCAGATGTTGGGTAAGGTTCCCATTAACAGTCTGTAACGAGGCCTGCATGCACAGGCCTAAATTGTCTCTGAACAATTACAGAGCCATTTGCAAATGTGTGCTTACAATCTGACAGCAGTGTAATTGCCGGGCAGATTGTTGACCTCTCGGGCGGTGAGGAAAGTCGCCTTGCTGAACTGTTGTGAACTCCACAGACCTGCCTGGTTTCTAAGAGGAGTTGGCCTAGCCGAAGTCTACGATCTGGATGACACTCATGGCCACTCAATTTAAGGAGCTAAATATTTAGCGATGGAGGTATTGTTTCCTCCTCCTTTTTTAGTGGTGTATTTTATGACATCTGTGTCCAAGGTTCTAGTTAAACATCCTTTGGTTAAAAGGAGCAGAAGTCTAGAAAATCTGGCTCAAATAAAAGAAAGTTATTGGTAGAGTGCTGATTCCAAGGAATCTACACAAATCACAGACCAAGTTGGGCTCTAGAAGCATAGCACTGGGCAGTGACCTCAACAGCAAAAGGCTGTGAACCTACTTCACTTTTGCCTCCGGTTACATTGTGACACTAACCATCTGTTTTGGGTTGATGGATGTGGACATAGAAAATCAACAGAAGCTCATTGATTCAGTCCTCAGTTCCTTGGCGAAAGCTTCATTGGGCCTAGCTTGGGTCACCTATGCATACATCTCCCTGACTCACCTGAGTTATCAGGCTGTGGGGTTGGAGAACTTCTGAAGTCAGTTAGGTAGACAACCCAAAACATCTATTCTCTCCAGTCCCTAAAATCTGTAAATTCTGAGGATTCTGCCATCCAGAAAGCTCAACTCTCTCCTTTGCATCCCCGCAGCCTTGGCAAGCAGATGGTTAAGACCCCTGCGTCTGCAGTCAGAAGGCCTGGATTAGAATCCCAGCTCCAGCATCAACCTACTCATGGACCTTAAGCAAGTTACTCTTCCTCCACAGGCCTCACCTCAGTTTCCTCTTCTGTAATGTGGGAGAAATACACTTTTTGTTTTGGGATGTGAAGGGGATTAAAGGAGCTAATATATGTGACCCCTTTAAGCACGCCCAAATGCTCAGAACTGCCTGGGAAATATAAGGGCTGAATTACATATTAGCTAGTAGCTATGATATTATTATAACTGTGGCATTTGTTATAACAATAATAATAATCACTGTCATTTCTCTAGTTCAGAGCATCATCATGTTCCATCACAGGTTCCTGATGTCTCTTGGTTCACAGTAATATTTCTCACAGCACATCTAGACCAAAGAAACACCTGATTTTTTTTGTTAATGTTATTATATCCGAACAATTTATTGAGTGTTTATGTCCTACTAACGTGGTAGTCCTTTGAAAATATACTGCATGTACATTGAAAGAAAAAACACTTACTTATTTCAGTCTTAAATAACTGCAATTTCCCATTAGTTGGGTACCCCAGTTCGGCCCACAAGTAATGGAAGATTCAGATACAGCCATGTGCTAGGGATAAAGACACTGTAAAAGAGAGGCGGGACACCTGCACAGATGTGGGACTCAGGGAAGACATCCGAGAGGAGATGGTGGTTAAGCTGAGCCTTGATGGATGAGGAGATGCTATCCTAGGTAAGTAGGATGGTGGTAGTGACAATGGGGACTATTACACACCTGCTTCTTTGCTTTCACTATTTCATTTAACCTGCACAACAAATCTCAACAAATAGTGAGTACTATTATTATTCCCATTTTTAGATGGGAAAATTTGAGGATCAGAGAAGTTAAATATTTCCCCAACCTTCAAAGCCACATGTATGCATTTCAAAGTCCATACTCTTTGTATTATATCGACTTATTCCAAAATAAGGCTTATTGCATAGGCACAGAGGCAAGACTAGAAGGTTAAGTGTATGTTTCCCTTGAATCACCATGGGTGCAAGGAAAAACAATTCACACCCTCATCATGTCCTCCAGCTTATTCAGCTGGTGTTGCACACAGTGAAATGAGTCATTAGTTAGGATGATTTTAATTAAAAGGGACATACCAATTAATAATTTAAAGTGCTGGCATATTTGTTAATTTAACAACTTTGTGCATAGCGCCAACTTTCCAGTTAAAGGACTGAGACGGGAAAATATTCCTCCATCCCTTAGACAAGATGGTTAAATATAGTTCAAGTCTTTTTCTTGTTTCCAGTTGGTTTCTTATATGAGAATAGCACAAGGTTTTGATAAAATCGCTGGAATGCTCATCCCAGGTCCAGTTGTCTTACCTGAAGTCCTTAATGGGCTCTGTGTGCACCTTCCATGCAGAATTGTTGACTGCCCTCCCATCACCCCTCAGCCACCTCCCTGTGCTTTCCACTATGGAACACTACTCAGATTTTAGGAGTCAGTCCCTCTATGCTCACTTCTCCAATCATCCCTACCTTATAGCATGGACACCGCTCCATTGCACCCCTCTGCATATCTGTTTAATATATGTACAATTTTGTGTTTATTCCAGCCACGACCCTGGAAGGGACAGGTCCACATACCATGAGAGCCCTCAGTCTGACTTCCCCTGATCTGTGGTGAATGGGCCAGGGATCAGTGGTCAACCCATTAAACTAGATGCCAGTAATCTATAACTTGTGTGGTCCACTTAAATAATTGAGCTAAGCCTATTAGATTTTCCAAAAAAATTGAACTATGCCAGAAGATCATATGTGTTTGGGAACTATGTTGGCCATGCGCATGCTGATGAGGAAGCCCAAGAAGTCAGAGTTTCAAGGTCAGTTGGCCAATAATGGGTGGAAGTGTGTCTTTGATCTAGGGCACTAGGCATGTTAGAGATTCCACCAGATACAACTGGAAGAAGAAGAAATATTTCCTGAAGCAACTTAAGGTCTCATATTCAAGTCCATAAATTTTTATTTTATTGGTGTAGCCTTGGTCTAGTACTCCCTTGACTATAACTTCCCTCATTTTTCATTTTATATTTTCAAGACTTTATTCCTTACTTCATCATGATTGTCAATAGCACTTCAGTTTCCTTTCTTTCTCTTTCACTTATTTCCCATGGGAATCTTGACATTTCCCTTCTGCTTATTTTGTTCTGCCTTCTTAATTCATTTGTGTCTCTATTAATTTGTGAACATATTCTGCTCTGGGCTCATTTCATCTCCTTCCACCAGCCTGGAGTTTTTCTTCTAAATCCCCTACATCCCAAGGAGCTCATAAAGCAATCTGAGACATTACCTACAGGTGTTTTTTTTTCCTGACTATAATCTGTATGGCCTAACATCAGATCAAATAATAAACTGACGATAGTTTTGCTAGAACTCCTAACCTGTTGTAAACACATATCAATGTATTAGCCCCCTGTAGTTAATTGAATAGTAGCCTCCAAAAGATATGTCCAATTCCAAACCCATAGTACCTGTGAATGTGACTTTATTTGGAAGTAGAGTCTTCATAGATGTAATTATGTATCTGAAGGTGATATCATCCTGAATTTACTGTGGGCCATAAATCCAGTGACTGGTGTTCTTATACAAGAAAGGAGAAGGCGATTTGAGAAACAGAGACACAGAGACAGGGAAGAAGGCCATGTGAAAAGAGAGGAAAAGATTGGAATGATGCTGCCACAAGCCAAGGAACACCAGGAGACACCAGAGCTAAAAGAGGCAAGAAAGGCTCTTTCTCTAGAGCAGCGGTTCTCAACCTGTGGGTCACGACCATCGGAAAACACATATAGCATATCAGATATTTACATTATGATTCATAACAGTAGCAACATTACAGTTATGAAGTAGCAACGATAATAATTTTATGGTTGGGGGTCACCACAACATGAGGACTGTATTAAAGGGTCTTGGCATTAGGAAGGTTGAGAACCACTGCTAGAGCTTCAAGGGAAGTGTGGCCCTGGCAACATATTGATTTTGGACTTTCGTTGGAGAATAAATTTCTTTTTAAAAATATTTTTATTGATTTCTGAGAGGAAGGAGAGGGAGAGAGCTAGAAACATCAATGGTGAGAGAGAATCATTGATTGGCTGCCTCCTGCATGCCCCTCCCTCTCCCCCTGCCACAACCTGGGACCAAGCCCACAACCCAGGCATGTGCCCTTGACCGGAATCGGACCTGGGACCCTTCAGTCCACCCGTTGATGCTCTATCCACTGAGCCAAACCAGCTAGGGCTCATGTCTCAATTTTACCCTACCACTTATTGCAGTGCTTGGCAAAAAGTAGATGCTCAACAGATAGTTATTAAATGAAAGAATAAAACTAAGTAAGAAGGCAGCTATTTTTCATCATATAGCC